CAGACCCACTTCCCCTCAGCAGGGGCACCCGGGTGCCCCTGCTGAGAAGACCCCTGCAGCGCAGGCCCCATCTGAGCACAGGCCGCCTTGTAGATCTTAGGCGTTTGCCGCACCACGTCTGCTGAGAACGCGTAGGACGTGGCGAACGCCTAAGACCCAAGGGGCAGGAAGCGCGATCGGAAGCGAAACGCTTTTGGTGTTGGCTGTATCTTCTGTTGAGATACCGGTGCCGATCATGGCCCGGCACCGGTACCGATACCGGCATCGGTACCCGCACCGGTGTCGATATCGATGCCGGTACCGTCAGGCGCAGCGCCTTTCTTAGCACCAACATCAACACAATCCTTGCGGGAATATGGAGGACAAAAGGGGGAGCGGGGAGGGAACATGAGGACGAGGAGGAGAGCCTGCAAGGAGGAGCAAGAGGGGTTGGGGGGGATATGGAGGAGGCAGCAGCAGGAGGACCAGGACAAGGAGGAACACGAGGCGGAGAAGCGGCACCGACAAACCGATTTATAGCCTCAGCCCAGCATCCCCAACAACGATTTTGAGGCAGGATGGTTCCACATATTGCTGATTTGCCTGCGCCCTTGTCGCCATCACTGTCGTCGTCATTGATGACATCGTCCTCGTTGCCATACTTCTTGCCCTTTCCCCCTCCCACGCATCCCTCCTGCTCTTTCTCCTCCCCCTCCTTCTCCTCCCCCGACCCATTCCATTCCCCATTCCTCATTATCCTCGTCGTTATTATTCCCCCTTCTTTTCTTCTCCTCATCCTCGTCATCGCGTTCCTGCTGCTCTTCCCCTGGTTCTTCTCGCCCCTCGTGCTCCTGGTTCTCCTCTTCACCCTCCAAGTTCTCCTCTCGCTGGAGATGTCAACATGTGCTAACTAAGGCATGGCGCCCCCCCGCCTGAGACTTCCTTCCACGTGACTCAGAAATCATGCTCTCGCCTCGGCGCCGGCTAACTGTTCCCTCGGGGCAGGGGCGCCTGGACCCCTCCTGGGGCACAATTCGGTATTAGCAGGGTAATGTAACAGGTAGCTTGGGCCTGGCCCCGTCTGACTCCTCTCCCCCACCCCTGGGGGCCCAGTTGTGAGGATGTCCCAGGCAAACTGACCGGACTACCTCGCGCGCTGAATCTCGGAGCGAGTCCAGAGTTGCGAGGAGGTCTGAAGCGAAATTGGCCCGACCCCAGAGTTCCGAGGATGGATCAGGCGAATCTGGCCCGAGAACTTCGAGCGCATCATCTCTGAGCCTGGAGTTGCGGGGGCGCATCAAGCGAAATTGGCCAAACGACCTCAGGCGCGGCATGTCTGAGCCGAGAGTTGCGAAGACGTCTCAGACGAAATTGGCCAGACCACCTCAAGTCAGGAGCATCTCGGAGCCCAGAGTTGCGAGGATGTCTCAGGCGAACTGGACCGGACAACCTTGCGCGTCGAAACTTCGAGCCTAGAGTTGTGATGATGTCTCGGGCGATACGGGCCAGATCACCTCAGGCCACAACAATTCAATTCTGATACCAGAGTTGCGAGGATGTCTCAAGCGAAATCGGCCAGACCACCTCGCGCGCGGCATCTCTGAGCCTGGAATTGCAAGGATGTATCAGGCGGACCGGGCTGGACCAGCGTAGGTCAGAGTAAATCTGAGCCCGCGCGCGACATCTTGCAGCCCAGAGACGACGCATGCAAAATCCGCTGGACCACTTCGCACGCGGTCTCTCGGAGCCAAGAGTTGCGAGGACGTGTTAGGCGAGTTTGGCTGGACCACCTCGCGCCTGGCAGCTCGGATCCCAGAATTGCGGGCATGCCCCGGGCGACCTGGGCCGGACCAACTCAGGTCAGGGCATATCTAGGCCAAGAGTTGCGAGGATGTCCAGGGCGAATCAGACCAATTCAGGTCAGAGCATTTCCGATCCCAGAGGTGCAAGGATGCCACTGGCGAAAATGGGCCAGACCACCTCGCGAAAGGTATATCTGAGCCGAGAGTTGTGAGGATGTCTCAAGCGAAATGGGCCGGACCACATCAAACCAGGACATATATGAGCCCAGAGTTGCGAGGATCATCAGGCGAGCCGGGCCGCACCTCTTCACGCGCGGCATCTAGGAGCCCAGAGTTGCGAAGATGTCTCAGGCTAAATTGACCAGACCACCTCGCGCGCGGCATCTCGCAGAGTTGGGAGGACATCTCAGGCGATAATGTCTGAAGTAGAATTGTCCAGATCACCTCGCGCGCGGCATGTCTGAGCCTAGAGTCGTGAGGATGTCTAAGGCGAAGCGGGCTGGACCTACTCAGGTTAGGGGCATATCTGGGCCCAGAATTGCGAAGATGGCGAAACGGACCAGACCACTTCGCGCGTGGCATCTTGGATTCCAGAGTTGCGAGGATGTATCAGGCGAAATGGGCCAGGCCATCTTGCCCCCGGCAACTCGGAGCCCAGAGTTGCGACGATCTCTCAACGCAATGTAATGCAGTGCCATGGGAAGTGACGCAACAGAAATGCAATGCCATGCGTTGTAATGCAATGCCATGCAATGCAACGCAAAGGCACTCCATGCAATGTGATGAGACAGTGGCTTCCACTGCGTGGGATGCGGGATAGAGATAGAGAGGGAGAGGAGGAGCACGGAGGAGGAGGTGTAGTTATTTTTTCCCCGAGCTCCCCATGCAACTTGGCATGGGCCACTGTGCAACACCAGTAGCAGGAGGCAGGGCTGGCAACACGATCAAGCAAACGAAACGCATTTAGCAGGCCAGAAGCTCACTTAGCAGGAAGAGGACGCTTTCGGCGACGGCGGCGGCGACGACGACCGACGACGACGGCCGCCGAAGGCCGCCGAGGCAGAGGAGGAGGAGGAGGAGGAGGAGGAGAAGGAGGGGAGAAGGAGGAGGAAGAGGAGGAGAGGGAGGAGGAGGTGACAAGGAAGAGGAGGAGGAGGAGGAGGAGGAGGAGGAAGAGGAGGAGAGGGAGGAGGAGGAGGAGGAGGAGGAGGAGAGAAGGAGGGAGTGGTAGGACGTGACAAGAGGAAGGATGGGGAGGAGGACAGGAGGAGGAAGTGGAGGAGGAGGACGAGGAGGATGACGAGAAGAAAAACAGGACCAGCAGCAGGAGGCGGAGCTGGCAACAGGATCAAGCACATCGGGAGCCCACTTAGCAGAACAAAAGCCCACTTAGCAGGAACACGACTTATTGCCTTGGGAACGGGAATGCATCGCCGATAGATCGGCGACAGGCCTCCGACCGCGAACAGAAACGCCAAGGCTCCTGTGGACAGGGTGGGGGGCCCAGGCCCCGAGGGGCGACGAGTGGGCGATTCGGGGTCGATGCACCATCCCTTGTCGTTGCCCCTTGGGGCGAAGCCAGGGCGAGGATAACATCAGATAGGAGTGAATCGAGAATCTCGGGGGTCGATGCTCTCTCTCCCTTGCCGTTGCCCCTAAAGACGAGGCCAGGACGAGGATAGCATCAGGTGGGGAAGTTGGGGATAGGATAAATCGACAATCTCTGCGATCTGGCGGTTCTGGAGGATGTCTCGGGCACCGCGGCCTTCTCAGAGCTTTCGGGAACGCTCCGAGAGCGCCCCGCAACGCTCTGGAACGGATGTGTCCTCGCCCTGGGCCCGCCCGACCCTGGGCCAGACCCCCCCTTTTGTTGCCCCTGGTGAGGGTCGGATTCGCCATCATCCGAAAGCTGGATCGACTCGGAATGCGCGTCGGATCGGGTCGCATCGGCACGGCGTCGGAATCGAATCGGATCGGCCGCGCTACGATGCACAGCAGCGCCATGCAAATCTCGGGCCATATCGAACCGTCGGAATATCGGAATCGAATCGTATCGAGCCGGCGAACATCGATACCGAGTCGGAGCGATCGGATCGCAAGGCACCGTGCTTACCCATTTCAAATTCAGGCGTGCCAGTCCATTTCCGGGGGAATCCCCCAAAAACGATACCGCTACTGCCCGGACCTCTCCCGTGGTGCGCTCTGACGAGACTGAATTTCGACGCGAATCTAGGGGCAAGGGTACACGCAGGTCGGAAGTACTTAGAACCATGTAGCTCGCCGTACTGAGATCGGCGGCCCGCTTACTAAGTGGTTATGTCACTTCTGAATGGTTAGCCGCCCACCTAGGCCACTTAGCCTAAGTAAGTTCCACGTACTTAGGCTAAGTAGGTTAGCAAGGACATAGCCTAAGTGGGCTAAGTGGGTTGGCGCCTCAACTTAGTACTTAGCCCAAGTCGGCTCAGGGGGCCAGGGGGGGGGCTACATGAGGGGCTGGGCGCGGACGACGATGCCGCTCCCAGAGTTTATCTAACCCCCAGGGGTTGTCCCAATCGCGGGCCGCCGATCTCAGTAAGGGGAGGAGGCGGAGGAAGAGGAGGGGCAGCGCGAGGAGGAGGAAGAGGAGGAGGAGGAGGAGGAGGAGGAGGAGGACGAGGAGGAGGAGGACCAGTGTAAACCCAAGAGTCACCAACGATGTCGGAAGAACCCCTCCCCCAAGCTCCCTCTTGCTAGGCCCCTACAACGGTTCATTTCCACAGAGGGACCTGCCTCGTTGGAAGACAACCGTTTGAAGACCCTGCAGCATGCCAAAATATTATTCTCGGCATTCCAACGCCACGGATGAACCCGACTGTCGCGTCTTGGCGATCCTGAATCGTGCCAGCAAAAACGTCTCGGCTCTTGAAATAGGAAGGCGCCTGACGTAGATGGGGATCCGAGTCCAAAAATCGGGGATCTGCTGACCAGGGTCAATCTAGACCCGGGTCAATCAGGCCTTGCAGAATCCTGCAAGATCCTGCAAGATGCTGCACCCAAACCCGGGTCAATGCGAAGGATCCTGCAAGGTCCTGCAGGATCCTGCACCCAAACTCGGACCCTGGCCCTGCAGGATCCTGCAAGATCGGGCGCTCTGGCTGACCCCCGTTTGCATGGACCCCCGTCTCCAGCCGCCCGAAAACATACGTACTCTCAACGGCCGGCGTGTAGCGGTATCGGTGCCTTTTCCTCCTCGGAGCGCCGGGCGTCCCAGACCTTCGGGTGGAAGCCGAAGGGCTCCGGGGCGAAGTGCGAGCCGTGCCGCACGCGCGTGGGCGGAGGGGGCAGCCCGCGCGGGGACAGGGGCGGCACCGCGCCTGCCTGCCCGGCCGCGCCGAACGCTTTGCCGCCTGGTGAGGCGCAAGAGGACACACTGGTACTATGCGCCCTCCTCGGAGGCCCCCTGTCCGAGCCGAGCAGGCTCGGTGAGGACATCAGATGAAGGAGCCATTGGATAAGGATTCCAGGGCCGGGGAGCCAGTGGGGCACCAATCGTGGAGTGGCTGTGGACACCACCGCCGCCCTCAGCAGATAATGAGTCCCCCAGGGTGTCTGCAGCTTCCTGGGCACACTCCTCCTTCCTTAACCAACGCCCCCACGTACTATGCGCCCTCCTCGGAGGCGCACGTCCGAACCGAACATGCAGTGCAACCACATTGAAATACATCATTTCCAGAGCGGCACGGCCAGAACGCACCCGCCACAGAGCATATACTATAGTATTCGCGGCGTGCAGTATGTTGGGTGACGCCGAGAGAACTCCGAACCAAACCTTCTGAATTGAGCGATACCAAGAAGGGGCCCTGCGCAAGATGACGGAGCGACCTCACGCCGCGGCTTGCGCGGGCCGCCAGGGCGACACGCCTCATGGGAAACGCGGGCGCTCACGCGCGTCCTTACGCGGGTATCTTACGCGCCACTTTCGGTGAAGACGGCCCCGTTTCTTCCGTCGACCACGTGTTGCCCACAAGACCCGTGTGCCGCCGTCGCAAAGATTCTCCCAAGGCCACGGGAAGTGACCTTAACGGTGAAGAGCGACTAGGGGACTGAGCAAAGTGCGTCATTCTACATAGCGTGAGGAGACCGCGCCCACATATGACGGGTATTGCACGCGATTTCCCCACGCCGATCCTGGAACGCCGGGGCGAGATGACAGTCAGACCGCGTTGAGCCCAGCAAGTCATTCGGGAGCACGGACTGACTAGACCCGTCCCCCTTGGAACAACAATCGCCTGAAGGACTAGGCTCATATGCCTTGCACGCGTTCGTCAAATGTGTGCACCCTTTGCTTGCAGCGCCGCGACACGTCGAACATCCCGCTGAGGATGTCGAAAATGCCTTGCGACCGCTGTTGCCCGCAGGCTATGCAGGCATAATTCTCCAATTCGGGTAATTGCCCCACTCTTCCTCGTTCAGCGCCTCGTCCTCGTTCAGCGCCTCCTCTCTTCGAGCTCTGCTCCTCCTCCTCCTCCTCCTCCTCGTTCAGCGCCTCCTCTCTTCGAGCTCTGCTCCTCCCCCTTCTCATCCTCGGTTGCTCGTCCTCCCTCTCCTCATCCACCTGCCTCATGGCCTCAATCTCGTATTCGACATCCTCCTCCCCCTCCCCCTCCCCTTCCCCCTCCTCCTCTTCCTCCTCTTCCTCCTTCTCCTCCTCCTCCTCGTCCTCCTCCTCCTCCTTCTCCTCCTCCTTTTCCTCCTCCTCCTCCTCCTCCTCCTCCTCCTCCTCCTCCTGCTCCTCCTCCTCCTCCCGTGACCACCCGCGTGGGCGGCGGAGCCGTGCGAACCCGCGGCCAACCACGAGCCCTGCTCGTCCTGCGGCACGCGGAGCCCACCCGCCTCCTCGGCGAGAAGCAACGCCGGGGGACCCTCGACACCGATCGACAGCTCGACCAGAAGCCCGATGCGATCCCGAACCACGGCCCGATCCTGGCAGACCAGAGGCCCGGCCCTCCTCAGCCACCGTCCATCCTCCCTCCACATCCTCCTGCTTACTTCCATCCCCTCTCCACTCCTCCTCCTCCTCCTCCTCCTCCTCCTTCTTCTCCTCCTCCTCCTCCTCCTCCTCCCCCTCCTCCTCCTCCTCCTCTCCCCCCCTCCTCGTCTTCTCCTCTTCCCCCTTCTCGACCTCCCTGCTCTCCTCTCTCCTCCCTCCTCCCTCTTCCCTCCTCCCTCCTCCCTCCTCCTCCTCCTCCTCCTTCCTCCCTCCCCCCTCCTCCCTCCTTCCTCTGTCCTCCCTCCTCCCTCCTCCCTCCTCCCTCCTCCCTACTCTCTCCTCCTCCCTCCTCCTCCTTCTTCTGTCGTGCGCAGCATTTGCTCCGATCACGTCTTCTGCTGCGCGCCTGCGTCTTTCGCAGGTTCTGTTTTCCTTGTCGCGGATGGCTCCCAATCGCTTTCCTTTTCTGTGTCTGGTCTCTCTGTTCGATGACCTTAAGGCATTCCCTGTCTATGGCCTACAGGGCCTCGTCGCCAGCGCTGCAATGCAAGAGAATCGCCTTAATTGGCTGTGTACTGTCATCAGACCAGCGAGCCGTTCCTCCTAGTCTCGCGCGCCATGTTGGCTTACGTTCGAGCTATCTGTTCTGCAGCAGCTGCATGGCTGTCCGCACCTGTTCGTGCCTTCGTTCCCCTTCCCCCTCGTGGCCTAGGTTAGCGCACGCCCAGTCGGGTCTTCGAGCCTCCCTCGCCAGTTTAATCAGTCAGTGGCAGGTTGCGCACGGCTTCGCTGTGCCCTCGGTCGAACATGCTTGCCCTCATGTGGTCAGCTGCCGCTTAGCCTACTGAGTTTGAGCCATCTGTGTTTCTTAGCTCCATCCTTTGTGGTTAGTCAGTGCCCTCCACGTACGTTTCCCCTGCCCGCCCCTGCTTTTGCCCCTTCCCCTGGCGTGGGCCGGTGTACGCCGAGTCGTGTCGTCGAGCCTCCCTCGTCTATCAAGGCCGTTGGTGACACACAAGTATTTTTGTCGCGCACTCTGTGCAAGCGGGTCTGACATGCCTGGGGCAGGGGCGGTCGCCCGCTGGCATACCTGTTTGCGAATAACTGCTCCGGTCACTGGGTTCGGGCCGCTGTTCTTTTCGGCTCCCTACTACTCGTGCCTTGTCAGTGCGTAGTCCTCCCTGGCTTTATGCGTTCGCCCCTGCTTCCCTACCCCTACTTTGCGTAGGTTGGCGCCCGCCCCGTCGGGGCCTTCGAGCCTCCATCGTTTCTGAGGTCGGTGAGCGACACACAGTTCCTTTCTCGTGCTCTGCGCTCGTCACGGGATTTTGGCCCAGCGCCCGTGCCTGCGATGCAGCATCAAGCTCTTTCGTCCCTCTCCTCCTCCTCCTCCTCCTCCTCCTCCTCTTCCTCCTCCTCCTCCTCCTCCTCCTCCTCCTCCTCCTCCTCTTCCTCCTCCTCCTCCTCCCTCCCCCTCTCCCTCCCCCTCTCCCTCCCCCTCCCCACTCCCCTCCCCATCCTCCTCCTCGGATCATCCTGCGAGTGCTGGTCCAGGCTCCGATCGACAGCCCGAGAGACCCTATGAACACCGTCGGGCCGGCGGGATCGGAACAGCCAGCGTTGGGATCCCTGGCCGCGACGGTCGGGGCAGCATGTGAGGCGGGTCGGATGCCCGACCCGCCTCGCACACCACATGCATACCGCAGCCACCGGGCGCAGAGTGTGCCAGTGCTCCCTGGGCACCCAGACAGGCAACGTCTCAAGCAAATGAGGACCAAACTTGTTCGTCGTTCGTTTTGCCCTGGGGGGCCCCCGGACCGTCCGCAAAACGACTCGGGATGAAAATCAGGTCCAGGGAAAAGGGTCGGGACTTCTGGGGGCCCCACGCTGAAAAAAAAACACCGCATGCCTGGGCATCCCTGAAAGATCTTTAGAACCCGCCCGATAGGGGGTAACAAATTACTTGTTCGGCGGCCGCGGCACCCGCCGCGCAACAAGGAGGATGATGAGGAGGAGGAGGAGGAGGAGGAGGAGGACGCGGAGAGGCAGAAGGGAGGAGGGAGGAGAAGGAGGATGAGGAGGCATGAGGATGATGAGGATGAGGACGAGAATGACAAGGATGACGGTGATGATGATGGTGATGATGATGAGGAGGAGGAGGAGGAGGAGGAGTTTGGGGGACCAGTCCTACTCACCACCGAGAGAAAAAGGGAGGGGGGGGACCAAAGTTCGCAATTATCCCGCCAGGGCCCTCGACGAATGGCGACCCAAGCTGTGGCGCCGCTCCCTGGGGGCCCCGCCTCGTGCTCTCGGCCGGATCGCCACCCCGCCGCCCTTGTGTGCCCGTCTCGGGCGCGAGGCGGGGGCTCCCATGCGAGGCGGGGCCCCTAGGGGGGGGGGGGGGGGGGGGGATCGCTCGATCCCTCCCGCCCCCCGCGGGGGGTGGGGGGGGACGTCGCTCGCAGCAGCATCGCTGTCCTTACTCTCGACCTCTCGGGCCGGCGAGGGCCCCTGGGGCCGTGGACCTGGGGCGACAGGCTGCCCTCCGGGGGGCTCTGAGGGGCATCGCTCGGTCTCTCCCCCCCCCGCGGGGGGGGGGGGGGCATGGCAGGCGGAAAGTCGGAGGTCCGGCTCCGGCGCACGGGGCGGCGGAGAGGCCCTGGGCCCCCGCCGCACCGGGCGACGGGCTGGGATCGGAGAAGGAGGAGGGAGGAGGGAGGGAGGGGGGAGGGAGGGAGGAGGGAGGGAGGGAGGGGAGGGAGGAGGGAGGGAGGGAGGGAGAGGGGAGGAGGAGAGGAGGAGGGGAGAGGAGAGGGGGAGGAGGAGGAGGAGGAGGAAGGGGGAGGAGGGGGAGGAGGAGGGGGTTGAGAAGGAGGGGGGGGGTAGGAGTAGGAAGTAGGAGGAGTAGGAGGAGGAGGAGGAGAGGAGGAGGGAGGAGGAGGAGGGCGGGGGGGGGGGAAGGAGGGAGGGAGGAAGAGGGAGGAGGGGGGGAACGACTGAACAATCACTTCTATGGACGAAGACCAGGTGTGTCAGGCCATAGCTTCAATGGTCTGGAACTTGAGGAGGAGGACGAGGAGGAGGAGGAGGACCATTGTAAACCCAAGAGACATCAACGAAGTTGGAAGAAAGCCTCCCTCCAAACTCCCTCCTCGTAGACTCCTAGAACGGTTCATCTCCACTGAAAGAACTGACTCGTCGGAAGACAACCGTTTGAAGATTCTGAAACATGCCAAAACATTGTTCTCGGGATTACAACGCCACGGATCAACCTGACTGTTGCGTGTTGGCGAGCCTGAGTCGTGCCAGACCGCCAACGCGAATCAACTGTTGCGCCCGCAAAATCCTGAACCTTTTCAAACAACCGAACTCTTGTACATATGATATTCGGACGTGCGCGGCACTAAGCGAGAACCGCAATTTGAAAACCAACCGCCCTCAATCCGAGAAACGCTTGCAAAGTGTTGTTAACGAATGTGCGCGGCGATAAGGCGAGAACCACTTTTCGAAAAGGAACAGCCCTCAATCCGTGAGACTCGTGCCACATTTTGAAAACGATCCGCTCTCAATCCTGGAAGCACCTGCAAATGTTTAAAACGAATGTGCGCGGCGATCGAGCGAGACACACATTTTGAAAACCATCCGCCCTCCATCTGTGAAGCTGTTGCCAATGTTCAAGCTTCAGGGTCATGCATTGTGAGGACGTCTCAGGCGAAACGCCCGGTCCGCCCTAAAAACTGGCCTCGGGGTGCGACAGGGAGCATTTATGTATAAGCAACAGAAAATCGAGGAGGAGAAGGAAGAGCCGGTTGCAAAAGCTGCACCTGGCCGAGGGCCCAGGGGGGCCCCTGGGCTCCAAACTGGCGCGAAGTAATGGGGGCACCCTGGGCCGTGGGCCAGGGGCACCTTTAGCAATTCCCGGAGGATGCGGCGGGTTAGAGCCCCTTGGAACCACTCCCCGCACGGGAGCCCGACCCGAGACGCGAAACGAAACACGAGAAGCGAGAAACAAAGGGGGGAGGATGAGGAGGAGGAGGAGGAGGAGGAGGAGGAGGAGGAGGAGGAGGAGGAGGAGGAGGAGGAGGAGGAGGAGGAGGAGGGAAAGGACCCCCTGCCGTTGGCCCGCCCTTGCTGCTCTCGGCTGGATCTCCACCTTGCCGCTCTCGTCCGCTCTTGTGTGCCCGTCTCGGGCGCGCCCGCCGCTCGGACGCCAAAGGCAGAAAGGCAGGAGGGGGGAGTCCCAGTGGGGCCCAGATCGAGGGGTCGGGAGCTTCCGAGCCCGCAGCCGACTGGCAGATCCCTCCCATCTGCGCGCTTGGGTCAGGTGCTCCGGGCGCCCTACGCGCGGCGGCGGCAGCGGCTCTGGGCTCTCAAGGGGCGATGTTCGGCCCTCATGGGCCATGCCGCTTGAGACCAAACGGCTGAAGCAAATACTTCCGATTACAACAAATTCTGGTGCGTTGGTTTGAGACACCGCGAAGATGATCCAACCGTGAGCGATCGCCTCTTTCCAATCGCACAGGATCGTTCGATATCGGCCGATTCCATAACACTAAAGGCTCTCAGACTTGAACGCCCGCTCTGGGGTCGCCACGAGGCCAACACGACGCGTACCGACCGCACTCACGGTGCACTTGCTTGCACCTGGCGACCCCTCAGGGCCTCCTTCTCCGCCTTGTCCCAGTTGTGCGACTTCCCCCTCCGTCTGCCTCCAGCCTCCATCCTCCATCCTCCGCCTCTTCCTCCGCACCCCTCCTTCTGGTCCCCCTTCTCCCATGTTCTTCTCCTTCCTCCATCCTCTCTTCTGTCCCCTCCCTTCTCTCTCATCACGCCTCCTCCATCTTCCCTGCTCCCTCCTGCCATCCTCCCTTCTACCTCCTCCTCCATCCTCCTTCCTCCGCCTCTCGGAACATGAGCCACTGGGGCCCCTTCCAATGAACACAGGCGGGCAGCGGCCCGTTCGTCGCCCCGGTCTGCCCGTAGAGGCCAGGGGGAACAAAAATTGCTCCCTCGCCGCATGTGCTGCCTGCGGCACCCTTGCGGTGACCCACCTGGTACACCGCCAAGGCTCGGGCGGTGTCGCGGTCCCATGGGAAGGGCTTATCGGTGGATCCTCACCCATTCTTCCCACGGTCCAGGTCCCCCGCCTGGGCGTACGTGAGGGTGACTTGTCGCCTGTACGTGGCTTATTTGGGTGGCACGTGCGGTGTAGTTATCTGAGCGGCTCGAAATGGTCAGGTCGGCGTGTGAGCCATGGGCCGCGTCGGTATCTGAGGAGGACTCATGCACTTGCAATAGCATGTGCTTCTCTTTGCTGCCTCTTCTCTCTCCCCTGCCTCTTGTCATCCCACGCTTCGGGAGTTCTTTCAGAGCAGGTGATGACTGTCATTGCTTTTCAATGCCCCAGTGTCCCTGGAACGTTCCAGGCCCCTGGCCAAGGCGCGTCTGTGCGGGCACTGTCTTTTCCGGCACCAGGCCTCACAATTTTGCCCACCATCGGCTCAGTGCCGGCGCATGCGGCCTTTTCGGATTACAGCGCATCGCTCACACCCGCGCCCCACCACCACCACCACCACCACCACCACCACCACCACCACCACCACCACCAACAACAACAACAACAACAACAACACAGCCTCCGTCTCCCCACTCTCTCCTCCCTCTTCTTCCTCCTGCACCTCCCTTCTCACTCCTCCCCCCTCGCCTCTCATCCTCGTCCTCTTTCCCTCTCCTCCCTCCTCTCTCCTCCCTCCCTCCTCCTCCTCCTCCTTTCCCTCCTCCTCCTCCTCCTCCTTCTGGTCCTTCTCCCCCTCCTCCCTCTCTCGTCCCCAACTTTCCTTTCCTCCGCCTCCCATCCATCTAGTCTTCCCTCCTAATTACTCCCTCCCTCCCGCCCCGCCCTTTTCCCCCTCCCCACCTCCTCCCGTCGTCCGTCGCCCGGGGCCTGGCTCGCCTTCTGAGTCTCCAGCCCTCGCTTCGATTCTACTTGATGGGCATTTGGCATCTCGACGCCCCCAACGCACGGGGGTCGCGCGGCAAAAAAGGTCCTCCCGTCCTCCGTCCTCCATGCTAGGAAAACCAACAGGTACCGATAGCGCTACTCCCCGGCCCTCTCCCGGAGCGCGTTCTGACCAGGATTTCGAGGCGAATCCAGCGGTGGCGACGCGGGCCGCCCAGGAGGCCCAAAAAAGGGAAAACCAGAGAAATGTAGAAGTATGGGTACCTTTTCCTTCTGCGACATGCACCACTTTGGCCGCCGGAAATGGGTACGGAAAAATGGGCACAATGCCCACCAAGACCGACAGCGGCCGCTGTTGGGGAGGCGGCTTTCTGTCTTCAGTGAACAACGTCCGCGGCGGCGCGGACAGCGAGCCCTGTTCAAAGTAGGCAAGAACCGCTGTTGGGCACCGTACCCAGTCTTTCCGTACCCATTTCGATCGTCCCGAACCACTGAGATCCGACGCCGCGAAACGACCGCAACGTTGTCCGAAATCACGGCCTCACGGCTAGAGCCCCAACCCAACCTCTCCGCGGATGTGCTCGAGCCGGGGATTGCTCCGCGAGGGCCCCGCGGCCCCTGGCCTCGAGCATGCGAGCGAAAGCGCCCTGTGTGTCAACGGGAAGCCCACGACGCCCGGAGCTCCAGATGGGCGACGATCACCAACGGGTCTTGCGCCAGATGACGTGGCGACCTGACGCCGCGGCTTACGCGGGCCACCGGCGCGGCACGCCACATTGGAGACGAGTGCGCTCACGCGCGACCTCACGTGGGCAACTTACGCGCGAATGTCGGCGCAATTGGACCTGTTTTTGTTGCGTCGCCCAGGTGAAGTGACGAGGCTCTACCATCCCCTGGCCCATCCGACGTTGCGAGGGGAATCCAGCCGTGACGACGACAGGCATCCCACGAAGGCCCCTAAACTAGAGGCCTCCTAGATGGGGTCCGAATCGATGGGGTCGAAAGGTCGCGCCCCATTGTCAATGCATCGCCGATATATCGGCGATGCATCGGCGACGTCTGCGACGCATCCGCGATGCCGGCGTGGGGAACACTGAGCTCCACATCCAGCCGCATCGTCGATGCATCGGCAATGCGCGGCACGACCCTTCGACCCCATCTACTCGGACCCCATCTGGGAGGCCTAGGGAAACTCCCCCAAACCTCCCTCCCCCGCCGCCCCAGGACTGGCGAGAAAAGCTGATAATCCTGGGCAGGCCCCCGTGCCATCACCGAGGGGGGTGCCAGACGTCAGGTCGTCGTCTCGTCTCGTATCGTCTCGTCGTCGCCAATCCTTTAACAGAAAGGGACCTCGGGACACGCAAATAAATATACGCAAATCCCAGGAGTCCCCATATGTTCAAGTATTTTCTTGGGTTTCGTCTTCCCCCCCACTTCCCATACTTTCCTGCATTTCCTGGGGATCGTCGATTCATTTTGTCCGTGTGATTTTCCCCCTCTTGACAACGCCCCCCCCCGCCCGCAACACACCGGTCATCGCTCCCCGGGCATATGGTGGCGAAACCTGCCGGCCGCTCGGCCCGCGCGAGGGCGGATGGCGAAGGGGAGGACGTTTTGTGTTCGCCCCCAGCGCCCCCCAAAGGTCAAGACCTTTTCTTCCGAGGGGTGGAGGCCCCGCACGCGAGCAGCGCCCCTGAAAAGTCACACCTCGTGTGCTGTCGGAGCTTCCGAGGAAGCAGTCCTCGAGCGGGGGACTGGCTACAGAAATGACTCACCTCAGAATTTGTGTTCCGTGGAGCCCACAAAGACAATGCGAAGAATAGTCCATAGATCTGCGGAGCATTCGACGGAAGAATGTTCGGCGGTGGACAAACCTCCCTTTAGTAAACCTCCCCTTAGTGCAAAGCGCCTGGGACCGAAACCGACGGACCTAGACCCGCAAAATGACGGCAGCGACGCCCCCTCGCGAACCGAAAACGGCCAATTCCTTAATCGACGTGTCAAGGTACGAGGTCTGTCCAACCCCGAAACGTGTTCTTGGGGTGCATCAATCCAGTAGTTCATCTCCTTCTTGAAGTCCGCCTCCCTCCTGGGCCGCCTCATGGGGCCCGGCGAGGGCCCCCGAAGCGAGAAAACTGCCGAGAGCCTCTCGTCGTGGCGCCTTTTCGCGGCGACGTCCCTCCTGGGCCGCCCGGCACTCTCCAGGGCGCGGGCGGGGAGTGATCGATCGAGGCACCCGTGCGGAGCATCCCCCGGGCCTGACGTCGATGGTTGGCGTCCGGTCGCCAGTGCAGTAAACGCCACGCCCCTCTGCCGCGCTCGTGGTTGGCAGCCCTCGGCGCCATGCACCACGACCTTCGATCGCCCCAAGACATGCCACGTTATGACTGTTGGTCTCCGAAGTCGCGACCCCTTCCCTGGGGCCGTCTTTTCTTCGCGAGCCGCTTCTGCTACGGTCCCAGGGCTCTGCGAGGGCTCCTGGAGGCCGGAATATCTGAGATCCGACGTTGCGAAAAGATTGCGACATCGCCGAGCCCCAGACCTCCTCGTTCTATCTGATCTTTCCAGCCGGATCGGTCTGTGAGGGTCCCTGGGCCCGAGACCCGGCGGAAACGCCCGGCTCGAATAAATCAGAGCCAGGATATCAGGCCGTCGTGATTTGTTCGGACTGCCTGCCATACCACCCCAACCCAACTCCAGGTTGGGGGGTACGGGTTTCATATGTTTTTAAAATGTTCCCCGACGACCCCACTGGGAATGGAGGGCAAATTGAGGCCTTCGGGTTGGGTTGGGGCGTTTTGGTGGGTGATGATTTTCCAGGCCGCGGGCACGCCTGGGCCCGCAAGCCGCCCACCCCATAGAGTCCCCCTATATGGGATCCGAGTAGATGGGGTTGTAGTATCCCGCGGCGTCGCCGATGCATCGCCGATGCATCGGCGATGTATTGCTAAGTCTGCGGTGCATCGGCAAAGCTAACGCGGAAACAATCGGGCTCCGCATCGAGCCGCATCGGCGATGCATCGGCGATGCGGCGCAATCCTCCGCCCCCATCTACAATAGGGGCCCGTTTACGAGAAACATTCCACAAGAAACCCAACCCTAAGACCCCAGGACGTCCACCGATTTCTGGTATGGGAACGTCACGCTTTCCATGACAAAGCAATCGAAACCCAAGAACCACAGGGCACCCAGGAGGCAAGCAAGGCGTCTCTTGGCATGGCCCCCCCTCCCACCCCACTCTACTTTCTACTTCGACCCCGTTTGTGAGGCCTATAGACCCCCGTCAGTAGGAAGCCGTGGCGGGCCGCGGCCGGGCGGGCAGGGCCTCGCACGCGCGCCTCCAGGGCCCGCCGCTCCAGCTGGCGCACCTGCAGCTGCAGCGCCCGCCTCTCCTCCTGGCCCCCGGGCTGCGGCGGGCGCGCGGGGGCGGGCGGCGGGGAGGAGGAGCGGTCCGCTCCAAGGGGGGGAAAGAGAAGGAGGTGGGGGTGGGAGGAGGAGGGGGAGGAGGAGAAGGAGGAGGCGGAGGAGGAGGAGGATGAGGAGGAGGAGGATGAGGAGGAGAGGAGATGGAGGAGGAGGAGGAGGAGGAGGAGGAGGAGGAGGAGGGAGGAGGAGGAGAGGAGGAGGAGGAGGAGGAGGAGGAGGAGGAGGAGGAGGAGGAGGAGGAGGAGGGAGGAGGAGGAGGAGGGGAGGGGGAGGAGGAGGAGGAGGAGGAGGAGGAGGAGGAGGAGGAGGAGGAGGAGGAGGAGGAGAGCTGAGCGGAGGAGGAGGAGGAGAAAGAAGAGGAGGAGGAGGAAGCGGAGGAAGCGGAGGATGAGGAGGAGAGGGAGAGGATGCCCGACCTCCCTTCACCTCTCTTTCTCTCTCCTTCCCTTCCTCTTCCCGTCCTCCATTTCCCTCTGCTTCCATCCGCTTCCCTCCCTCTTCCCTCCCCTGCCCTCCCATTTCCTCTCCGCGTCCCTCCCCCCTTTGTCCCTCCTATCCCCTCCCCCCTTCCTTCCTTCCCCGCCCTGCCCCCACCCTCCACACCCTTCCGCCAGGGTCGCAACTGACATCTTCGCCTCTCCACTCCACTCTGCCCCTTGCCGACGATTCCCGCGGCACAGCTCTTGCACAAGGCGTGCGGGGGGGTTCACGCCTGTCTCCTCAACACCGGGGGGGGGCATCACCACGGTGCGTGTGCCGGTCGGATGGGGCTGGTGCGCCAGCGGAGGCGAGGGCAAGCTTGTGCACTCGGGGGAGGGGGGGGCGCGGCGGTCCCACGGTGGGTGAGTACGACAGTCTCATGGCGAAGCTTCCCAGAATTTGCGGGGAAGGGCAGAAGCATCGCGTGGCTCCCCTCTCCATTTTTCTGCGACGAGCTGGCGCGTCACGGTTAACGCGGTGGATACACACACAAAAAGGGGAGGGGCACGGGGTGCTGACCACCTTGTGCCGAACAAAAGCTCGCCTGGGCCGGTGGCCGAACTTACCACCAAGTACTGGATCATTATTCGGAATTGTTTGCAGAGGGCCAGTCGACGAACTCTTGCGGAAGATGGTTGAACCACACACACGCACACGCACACGCACACACGCACACTCACACACGCACACACGCACACGCACACGCACACACGCACACGTACACGCACACGCACACGCACACGCACACGCACGCGCACGCGCACGCGCACGCGCACACGCACGCGCACGCGCACGCGCACGCGCACGCGCACACGCTCACACACACACACACACACACACACACACACACACACACACACACACACACACACACACACACACACACACACACACCACACACACACACACACACACACACACACACACACACACCACACACACACACACACACACACACACACGCACACGCACACACGCACACACACATACACATACACACAAAAACACACACACACACGCCCTCCCCCAACAAAACAACCCACCCACCCACCCACCCACCCACCCACCCACCCACCCACACACACCGACCAACCCACACATCCGCCCACCCATACCCACACACCCACACACCCACACACACCCACACGCACAACAATACACACACGCACACACATATACACACATACACACGCACGCAAAGCTTTCGAGCGCTGCAGGACAGAGAGAGCGGGCCAGAAGGCCGATGGGCCCAACAGACGCGACAGGAGGGGGGAAGGGCAGGACAGCACGGCCAAACGCAAACACGTGCACGCGGACTCGCCTGCAGTCTGCTCGTGGCCAGGTCGGCGTTCCACGGGCCCTGGCCGCACACTGCGTCAGAGGCTGGGACGGACCACCAGCGCTTCGACCTTTCGTGGCTGCAGCGACTTCTGAGTCCTCGGCGCCTGGCTCCCTGGATCAGCCATGGCTGCGAGAGGGGCACCCGCGGCGGGAACGGACCGATTCGCTAGGCCTCTCGTGTTGTTATGTATTGTGTTCGTTGTTGTCTTGGGTGGGGAGAAGCGAAGACAGGACCTGAATCGGAGAAACGAAATGGGAGGATAGCAAAGGGCAGGGTAGAGAATCGGCTCACGTAGCTGATTTTCCCAGCGCTTCATGGCGCCGGGAAGCGTCCATGTATCGAGGAATGGGCCCGGCGGCGGGGCCGAAACCAGCTGCATGCAGCACATTTCGTAACCCCCCTTTCCCTATCCCCCCCTTCCGTTCGGCCCGACTGAAGCGAGAGAACCAGAAAACGTCACACCCTACAAGCCTTCGGAGGCATACACTCAATTCTTTAGGGTCGGCGCTGGATTCCCCTGGCGGCGCCCCCTCCGCCGCCACTGCGCGCTCCGTGCGCCAAAGAAGAGGTTCCAACGCCGATACAAAAAATCCGCGCGGACTTCCGAATCGGAGGTTGGGGGGTGAGAGCGCCGTGAAACGGAGACCCCCCGCCGGGAAATCGGTTTCGGTTTCGTGTTCGTGCAGTGCGTGCGGGCGAGGCGAAACTGCATGGGCGGGCGAGCGGGATGAACCCTCCTCTGGCTTGGGCGCCACTGGGCCAAAAAACCGCCCGTCACCCTCGGTTGGCCAACGGTGGCCCAGGGTGTCGCGCCGTGGTGTCCTGCCAGTTTCCCGTCGGTGTCCCGTCGGTTTCCCTCCTGTATCCCGTCGGAGCCGCGTCGGTATCCCGTGAGTGACACCGACGAGTGATAGTGAGATCTATTTTGAACCCGATCGTGAGATCGACAACGAGATCGATAGTGATATCGATAGTGAGATCGACATAGGCATGGACAATGACATCGCTTGTGTTATCGCTCGGGTGGTCGATGGTGAGATCGATGGTGAAATCGAAAGTGAGATCGCGAGGCCGATGGTGATATCGAATCTGTACACGACAAGGTCGGCCACCACGGGAATGTCGGTATGCGTGGCGGCATGTGCATGTCCAGATGGGTGTCGAAGGGTACCGCCGTGTCCACTTGGACGCACTGCCCGGCGACTCCATGACGTCTTGCCGAGGCGCCCCGGGGGCAGGGACCGGTCGAGGAGACTGCACGAGGTTTTGCTGCGGCGTGGTCTCTTCCAACACGTCCCTGTCCGCCGCCGCGCGGGTTGGCGCCGCGGGAGCCGGACCCGCCGGTGCACGATCGGGACCAATAAAACGGATTTCGGCGATAATGTCGGCCAGGCCCTGGCACGCCAGACAGTCTACCGAACGGGCGTCTGTGTTCCACATTGGCTGCGCATGGCACGCCTGGTGCAATTTGCGGCCGCACTGCAGGCGCACCACCCTCTCGCCGTGCAGGAAGGCTTCGAATCAGATGGGACACCCCCTGTCGTCGCCATTGAGAATTGCAGCTGGGGGAGGCTCGGCTGGCGACGCGGCAGGCGGCGCGGCAGGTTTATCTGTCCAGCTCTGCACGGCCTTCCGTCGCTGCTCGTCCTGCTGCCGCGTGGGCTCCAGCGTCACCGTTGTGCTGCGTAGCTCGTCGAGGCGCTTGCTGCGCATGGTCGAGAGTGGTGCTCACGTTGTGCTCGGATCGGCCGCCGCTGGCCAGCCACGTCTCGCGGCAGGCGAACCCGACGGCCACTCTCCCTGACGGTCAACTCACGACGACGGGTTTGGCAGTGGCGGTGGTGCGACTACCAGCGCGGGCGCGTGGAACTCGATCCATATGGAGTGCTGACGCCGAAGGCGAAGACTGAAGGCACCCATGCCCAGCTCGGCAAATGCGCGCCGGCAGGCGGGGTCCGAGGGCGCGGCGACTCGCGCGTTGAGGTCGCATATCCAACCGCGCCCCTGAGCTTGCCACAGTTGGAACGCACCGCCCACTCGAGTCCACCATGGCGGTGATGGTCGTGGTAGTGCTGGTGCTGTTGAAGCTGCTGGAGATGCTGGCGCCGCTCCCCCCGCTGCTGCCGCTCGGGCCAGTGGCGCAGTCACAGGCCCCGCCGGCCGAGTCGCCGTTGATCTTGGTCGTGAGGGTTGGGAGAAGACGACGAGTAGGGCGATGTACTTGCCCATCTCGACCAGCGGCCGTGGCCGACTTGTTGTCAACTGCCGTCTGACGACTCACATGGAGCGGCCACTGCCGCTGCCGCTGCTGGTCGCGGGGCCGGCGTTGCCGGAGTCGGCTGTCCGCCGCTGCAGGGGCGATTGCCATGCTGCATGGGATCGCCTTCCCCGAAGACTGTGCCGCGGGCTGCAGAGTTTCTGGAGGCGCCCCTGGTCATCCTTGCTGCGCGCGCAAATGGCACGGGCCGCTGCTCGGATGCACCTGCCGGGCCCCGTTGACCCCGAAGCGCAAGTGGAGAGAATTCTGGCGGTGATGGCGGCGCCGGGGCGTCGGCGCGCATGAAGAGAGCGCGCCTTTGAGCGCGGCGCAAGGGGCAATTGCGCACGAGGTGGTCCTCGGAACCGGGCTCGTGGAATTTGAGACGCGCCCCGTCAGGGCCCATGGCGTCGCCCTGGCGGCTGGGCCCAATGCCGCTGGTACTGTCCTCCCCGATGCCCGCGAACGTTTCCCAGAATTCGTTTCCGGACACGTCGGCCAGAAAGGCGCGCGCCGCGCTGTTCGGCGGTGGCGCCGCGCAGCTCGGGACCATGCGCGGCCGAGACTTCGTCGCAGGAGCTGACGGTGCCAGAGTCGGTGCCCGAGTCAACACCTGCTGCTGGGAATGCCCCTCGAACTGCTGACGCCGCGCTGGCGGCGTTGGCGGCAGTGGTTCAGGTAGGCTCGGTTCCCCCCCCAGGGCAACTGGGCCCATGCTGTCCCAGCTCGATCCGGCCACGTTGCCACAAACATCCCGGGCGTGATCTCGCGTGGGCGAACCGTGACGAAGGCGTGCCGTTAGGCAGCGTGGGCCGCCGAGGCGAGGTTGTCTGGCGATCCCTCAACCATGTGCCCGCAACGCCGCAGCTGGCCCGTCGTGCGCGTGAGCTGCTGGGCGTTCGCGGTGTAGGTAATGCTGCCGTGCTGCAGGATCATGGTCAGCTGAAGATTCGAGTGTCGAACCGCACGAGGAAGCTGAGGCCCTCGTAGCCGACCATGAGATGACCGGCTTGCTGCGCCCAGTTTCAAGGAATGTCGAACCTCGTGAGGAGGTAGTCGATGAGCTCTTGCGGCAGTCGCTTGAAACGAAATCAGTGCCGACATTGGCGAAGTGCGCTCCTCCTCGCCCAGCTGGCCCCACCACTCGGCCAAACTGTTCGCGAGGAAGGTCATCGGTGGCGCTGGGTTGCCACTGATGGGCCCCCCTTGGATCAGGACAGCCGGCAGCCATTCGTCCACGCGCTCGCGCGCCAGTCCGGCGAGGCGCGACGAGACGTAGACCGCATGGCGAAACGCGTCGAAGTCTGAGTTCATCTCGCGCACCCGCTTCCGGGAGGGCACTCGAGCTGGGGACTCGGGCCCCCGGGCGCAGAGGTGTCGCGCGCTGCCATCGCCGCCGCCTGCGCCCATGCAGGCGAAGCAGCTGGCGATTGCAACCACGCCCGCTCTGATGGCCTTTCATCGGGAATGCATATCCCTCCACGCGTCGCGGAGGCGCTAGGAGCAGGGGGTCCACCAGCGGGGCTGCTCAGGCAGCGTGCGTCGGAGCCGCCGTGGATACTTGCCCCGGCCGTGTTCCTTCTCGTCTGCGTATTTGGCGCCTGGTTCCGCCGCGGGGTTCAAGTGCTCTCGGTGCTCGGAGCATCCAGCGACGCAGTCATAGGCGCGCTCCTCGTACGTCGCGTTGTCACTGTGCGGAGCATCGCCAAGTGCACGATCGTCCAGAAGGGGTGCGCATCGGGACCCACCCACGCAAGGTTTCTGGGAGGGTGCGGGCAGGGTGGGAGGTCATGTGCCAAGAGATCGAAGACGGTTTGGGGTGTACGAGAGCAGGCGAAGCAGGTGCTGACTGTGTTGGACCCTGGTTGTCCCAGATCCACTTCGCGGTCCCTCGGAGCACTGGTGACACGGTCGCCACGCCCTCCATTGCCTCCCCGCTCTTCTCAGCCTGCTCCTCCAAGGGCTCTTGTGACACAGTCACCCAAATATCGGGGCCCTTATTCAGCACCGTAGATGCGAACGTTGTGTCGAGCAGCAGTTCGGCATGTGCGGTTGCAGCCACATGGAGGCGCATTGAAAGGGGAAGGGTCCACGAGCTGCGCTGACACAGTCAACTCAAACCCCGGAGGCATCGCTGACAGCCCCGGCGCGCCACTGAATCCATCGTCGTCGTAGGCGGCGGTGCGGCGGGGCTCCATGTCCTCGTGAATGTCCTGGTTGTGTGCCCTCCCCGTCACCGGTCCTGGCGGATGGACTCCAACCCCAACGGGCCCTAGAGTAACGTGTCCTGCCATGGTGACTGGGAATAGGTGCGCGAAGGCGAGACAAAGAGCGAATGGGCAATGGTGGAATGATAGAACCATAGCTGTCGAAGCCGGGCGATACATGGCGAGGCAGTGACAACGGAACATGATGCTCCGCTACCAACTGAAATATGTGAAAAAAACGAAATGAAGGCGGAATGCATGTGCTTACGGCGTGTCTAAGGCGGGCCCGACGAAGGGCCTTCTGGATAACCGCAGGAAATGGCATTGGCAGGAGGTGGGGTGAGACGGGCAGGACAGGAATGCAGACTGTTCGAGTAGGGAGGATCGGAGGAAGAGGAGGAGGAGGAGGAGGAGGAGGAGGAAAAAGAGGGGAGACAACATACAGTAGGTAGGACCACGAATAGGGAACCTATACGGACGCAGCGAAGGCTCCAGCCATTGCAAGCACAAGATGCGTTGAATCCAGCGTCGCTGCACGAGCCAACCTGCCATAGGCGAGCAAGAGCCACGGACTGAAAACTACGAGTACTACGACCCGCGCACGTGCCGGTAATGGCACGTTTCGCCAGCCGTGAACGACCATAATTCGCCGGCCCAACGGGCCAGAGGCGTGCTTAGATCTCCGGTAACTGCTAAATAATACTTCTACTTCGCGCGCGCGGGGCGGCCCCTGGGGGTCCCCGGACGAAAAGTAACCCGGGCGATCCCTGGCAGGGTCGGGTCAGAGATGGTTTTCCTCCTGGGCGCCGCCCCCGTGGCCCTCCAGAGAGCCCCAAGCAGGGCCACGAGGCCGCCAAGAGCCCTCCAAAATGGTTCAAGAGTGCTCCGAGATGCCACACGATCGTTCCAAGACGCCCAAGATGGCCCCCAGACGCCCCAAGGGGCCTCCAAGAGCACTCCCCAGAGGGCCCCAAGAGGCAACATTCATTACTTTTCCTTAGGTTTTGGGCAGATTTTGGCGTGTCCATCTTTTCGGCTTCCCGACGCCCCAAGACGGCCCAAGAGGCCCCCAAGATCGCCCCAAGAGGGCCCAAGAAGCTCCCAAGAAGGCCCCAAGATGGCCCAAGAGGGCTCCAAGACGGCCCCAGAGGCATCCAAGACGGCCCAAGAGGGGCCCAAGAGGGCCCCAAGCGATGCCCCAAAGGGGGAACACAAAACAAAACTTCGAGCCCTCGGCCTTAAGAAGCCCCCAGGAGGCCTCAAGAGGCCCCTGAGAGGCCCCAAAAGCCCCCAAGAGGCCCTCAGGAGGCCCCCGAGCGACGCTGAAGAGGCCCCCCAGCGGCCCCAAGAGGCTCAGTCATGCGAAATGGGCCGGCGGAATGAGCGAAGCGATTCAATAAGAACAACCTCCGCTGCAATGATTGGTGTGGTGGGGGGGAAGGTCGGCATGCAGGTGCCAGCCTCGACGGGGTGACACACGACAAAACGGGGAGCCCCCCCTCTCCCTTCCCCTCCTCTTCCTCCTCCTCCTCCTCCTCCACCTCCATCCTCCTCCTCCTCCTTCGCCTCCTCCGCCTCCCCCATCCTTCTCACACGTCCTGCTCTCCCCTCCTCCTCCTCCTCCTCCGCCTCCTCCTCCTCCTCCTCCTCCTCCTCCTCCTCCACCTCCTCTTTCTCCTCCTTTTCCTCCTCCTCCCCCGTCATCCCTCCCTCCCTCCCTCCCTCCTGCCTCCCCCCCCCCCTGCGGACCCCTGTCTCCTCCAGCTCCCGCGCCCTCTCCGCCAGGGAGGCCAGGGCGGCCCGCAGGCCGGCAGTCTCCTCGGAGGGAGCGCTGGAAGGGGCGCGTGGGGGGGGGGTCCGAGCGCGCTCTGCGTATTGTAGAGTCGGACCGAGGTACACGTCGTTCATGTCTAATCGTGTTCATTTCTAATCATGCTCGTTTCTAATTGTTCCTGGCCCCCCAGTGGCCAGGAAGAGGCCCAGGATATAGTACTTAGCAATGGAAGGATCTCGCCTCCCAACAAAAACAATGAACTTTCGAATAATTCGACATTAACAATGTGTGCAGTCGGACCGAGGTATCAGATCGAGGTCGGTTCGGGGAGGGTGCCCTCGTGTTCTTCGTGTTTGTCGGATGCTCTCGTGCACCCTGGGGGCGCTACTCTTGGACGTTCTGTGCGTGTTGGCCGGCGGAGGGTATCGTGTTTTTGGCCGATGCTCCTCTGGCCTAGGTCCGACTGTACACGTGCCCCTTCCCCACCTGGTCCTCCATCCATCGGTGGTCCTCCATGTCCTTCCTCCCCCCCCTCCGTCGTCATGTCTCCTCCTCCGCCTCCTCCTCCTCCCCAATCCTCCTCCTGCATGCTCCCTCGAAGCAAGCCTCCCGCTCCTCCAGCCCTGCGCCTGCTTCTGTCGCTTATCGTCGTCGCTGTCGAAATATGACTTTCCAAAAACATGTGTGTTGAGCCCACCTCTTCAGTGCCCATTGTGGTTTTCAATAAAAGTGGTCATCCCAGGATCTTGGACCTCAGCGCTGTTGGGCACGGGGCTCCAACAACAACGGCCCCCGCCTGACACTTATTCACAATGTAACCAACATGGCGCTCTCATGCAAGATGCGCCCTGTCGCGTGGCACTTCCTCAAATGTATTGCTGTGCCATGCCCCAAACACTCAAGAATCAAGCCCTCGCACTCGTTTTCCCTACGATTTACTTGGGGATCGCGCTATCGCTCGAAACTTCCTTGCGACACATGTTGGAATGACGCTTCAATGACCCACCCGCTCGACCCAACCGTTTGAGCCCGCCCGCCCGACCTGCCGATTAGGGTCCACCCGCCCGACCCACCCGTCTGGATCTTCCGCTTGCAGTCCTGCTCCTAACCCTCCTCCTGCAAATCCATCTCGTGCTCCATCCTTCTCCCTCGCCCTAGTCTCTTCCCTCCTCCCTTCATTCCCCTGTTTTAGGGGCCGCGCCAACTAAACGTGAGAGGTAAGGACGATATACACCCAAGGGGGATACGATCGAAGACGAAGAAGGCGGGTGTCGAAAGTTTGGCATACACGTGTTGAAATGTACCCGGGCAGATAAGAACGAACAGTCTTGAAATGAATGGCGTTGTCGTTGTCGTTGTCGTCGTCGTCGTCGTCGCCGTCAGCAGCATTTCACGTCCTCCTCACGCCAATATTTCCCTCCCTCTCCATCTCCTCCCTCCTCGATGTCCCCATCACTCCACGTCCTCCTCACTCCTGTACCTCCCTCTATCTCCACCTCCTCCCTCCTCCATGTCCCCATTACTCCACGTCCTCCTCACTTGTGTATCTCCCTCCCTCTTCACCTCCCCCCTCCTCCCACCCTGTCCTCATGTTCTTGCTCTTCCCTCCTCCTCCCCTGCCTCCCTGACCCCGCCTGCTGCCCCCACCCCTCCTGATCCCGCATCCATCTCGAGTGCCCGCTGCTGCTGCTGCTGCTGCTGCTCTTCCTCCTCCTCCTCCTCCTCCTCCTCCTCCTCCTCCTCCTCCTCCTCCTCCCCCTCCTCCTTCTTCGAACTTCTCACCTTCCTTTTCTTCGTCCTCCTCCTTATCCTCCCCCGTCTCGCCCTCCTCCGCCTCATCCCGCATGCTGCTCGCCCATCTCTCTCGCGGTGGGGGCAGGAGGATGACCACCAGGAGAGGGGCACAACGGGGGAGGAGGGGGGCGAACAGAAGCATGAGGTGGACAAACAGGGCAAGGCGAGAGGCGGACGTGGCGGAGGAGCAGTAGGTGGAGGAGAACGGGGGGGAGGGGGGGCGAGGAGGGGTGAAGGATGATCAACCCAACCATGGCGGAAGGGGGAGGGCAGATTAGCAGCAGGGTGGATATAGAGAGGAGGAGGGCAGATCAGCAGCAGGGCAGATCAGCAGCAGAGGGAGGAGGAGGAGGAGGAGGAGGAGGAGGAGGAAGAGGAGGAGAAACAGGATGAGGACGACACGGGAGACACATGAGGACCATAGCGAAGGGAATGAGGATGACGAGGAGGAGGGTGGAACAAGGAAAAAAGGTGATGGATGGTGGAGGGCGGGAAGGAAGTCGATGATTGAGGTGAACAAGGAGATGGACACACATGATTATGGTGATGACGATGCTGATGGCGATGACGATTACGATGACGATGATCACGATGATGGCGATGATGACGATGATGACAGTGATGACAGTGATGACGATGGCGATGATTATGATGATGACGATGATGGTGTTGATGATAAAGGTGATGATGCTGATGCGGATGGTGATAATGCTGATGATGCTGACGATGATGATGCTGCTGATGCTGATGCTGATAGAAATGATTAGCATGATGGTGCAAGTGATGGTGGCGGTGATGCTGCTGATTGTGATGATGATGCTGCTGATGATGATGAGGGCAAGGGCATTGATGATGATGATGATGATGATGCTGATAATGATGATGCTGATGAGTATACCAGTAATGATGATAACGATGATGATGATGATGATGATGATGATGATGATGATGATGCTGATGATGGTGATGATGATAATTATGATGATTATGATTATGATTATGATGATGACGATGGTGATGACGATGGTGATCATACTGATGACGGGGATGATGAAGTCGATGCGACTGGGTATATGATGATGGTAGTGGTGCTAATATCAAAGACGATTGGGATGAGTATGCTGCTGATGATGCTGCTGATGATAATGGTGATGATGAGGAGGGGGAGGCGAAAGAGGAGGGGAGAAGAGGAGGAGGACAAACATGGGAACAGGGCGGACTGGAAAACGGACTCGAAGAAGGAGGAGGGGCAGGAGGAGCAAGAGGAAGACGACGATGGATTCTGCTTGGACAAAATCTACAACTGTCTGACCGTTCAGGCGTAGGCACAACAAGCGTGGAGGAAACGCCATCAGCATGGGGGTGGTCTGCTTGGCGCGGACGACGATGGCAGTGTGGTCGGGGTCGCGATCCCACGCGGGCCATCCAATGGGAGGCCCCGGCTCGGCGCTGGAGGCGGCCAGCACCTGCGCTTGAAGGTGGCCGATCTCACCCAAGAGCACGGCCATCTCATTATCGTGATCGGCCATCCGGCCCTCCAGAACACACGATCGAGACTCGACGGCACCGAAGCGCTTCTCCACAAGGCCCGTCACCTCCATCTCGCTGGCGGAAAAATCTCTACTGTACCTTTCTGATGCTGGAGTGGAACGCCTTCTGGGCCTGGCGGAGGTCGCTTTGCACGTCGGAGTTGAGAGCGTCGAGCCTGGCTTGCACTTGCTCCTGGAATGACTGGGGGTACTTGCGGGGTGACGAGGACCCCGACCAGCCGAGGAGGGAGGAGGGGGAGAAGGAGGAGGAGGAGGAGGAGGAGGAGGAGGAGGAGGGGGAGGAGGAGGAGGAGGAGGAGGAGGAGGAAGAGGAGGAGGAGGAGGAGGAGGAGGAGGAAGAGGAGGAGGGAGCGGGGAACGGGAGAGGGGAACGGGAGGGGAGGACAAGGATGTAACGGGGCTAGGGCGGGAGGCAGATGAGGCAATGGAGGAGAGAACGGAGAGGGGAAGGGAACGGGAGAGGAGGAGGAAGACGCGGGAGAGGAGGAGAAGGAGGAGGAGGAGGAGGAGGGGAAGGAGGGGGAGGAAGAGGAGGATGAGGAGAAGAAGTAGAGTGAGAGAAGGAGGTGGAGGAGGAGGAGGAGGAGGAGGAGGAGGAGGAGGAGAAGGAGTCGGAATCGGAATCGGCCCCATCGCGGTGCGAAGAGGAGGAGGAGAAGGAGGAGGGGAAGGGGAGAGGGGGAGGGGAGGAGGAGGAGGAGGAGGAGGAGGAGGAGGAGGAGGAGGAGAGGAGGCGGAGAGGAGGGGGAGTGGAGGGAGAGGAGGAGGACGAGGAGAAGGAGAAGGAGGAGGAGGAGGAGGAGGAGGAGGAGGAGGGGAAGAGGAGCGGAAGGGAAAGACGGGGCAGGGTGGGAGAGGAACTTGAACTGAGGGGACATGGGGAGTGCTGCGGTGGCCCAGGGGCACACGAGCATATATATATATATATATATATATATATATATATACAAATCCCAAGAGTCCCAATACTTTTGATATTTTCTGGATGTTCGTCTTCGCCACCAATTTCTGATATATTCCATCCGTTCCTGGCGATTTACGTTTACGTGTGTTTGTTTCCCCTCCTGCGGATGGCTGGGGCGGGGGGGGGGTGCAGCAGAGCGGATAACGAGCAGCGGGGAAAAAAAGGCAGATTGAGACGAAGGAGGACGAGGAGGAGGACAAGCGCAAATGGAATTGCTCTATCTATAACGAACGCACGCTCATCACCTCGACGTCGGGGTGAGCGACGCGCTCAGCGTCCGGTCACCCGTGGCTGTAGTACCGGACAGGGCGGAGATCATTGGAGCTGGCCGGCTTCCCCTTTATTTGTTGTTCAGATGGGCAAGGCCTGATGACCTCGTCACTGGTACCTTGCCCCACCTAGCGTACATTTGACAGAGGACAGAGAACCAGCATATGCATAAACTTTCGGAGCTCTGCGCCATGTTCGTGGATCGGCGCGGAGCGCGCAGAGAGGGCCAGAGGCGGCGCCAGAGGCGCCGCAAGCAAGGGCCCAGCGCCGATCCAGGAAATCCACGAGCAACTCCGAAAGTTGATATTTATGCATGCGTTTTTTCTTCGATTTCAGGACCCCCTGCGCTAAGAGAGGCCTGCATCGCAAGAACAAGATCCCTCCTGGAGCGGAACAAAAAATATCGACGCTCAAACCCCGACAGCGGGGGAGGCGGGCGTAGGAGGAGGCGCCACTCGTCGTGGCTACGCGCGCACACGACCAGAATCGAGGTCCGAGCGGGCAAAATCTAACATAACCAAATGGTTCCCTTAAACTGCACGTGCGTCGACTTTCGCTCTCTTCCTTCTCTGCTGGGATGGGCACCGGGGTTGCTGAGAGGATACGGGGGTACCAATGGATGCCAAGGTGGGATATATCTGATCTAACCTAGCTTATACATGGGTTACATATGCCTTTAGTGGCTTAGGGGGAGTCGATACTTCCGTTAAGTGGGCGGAGCCCACTTAACGGCTACAACACTTATAAGCTAGGCTCTGCCGGATCTGACCCACCTTATTGCGGCGCGGACAAGGGGGTAGGGGGATGTTTGAAGGCCTCTTAGAAGGGGGCTGCTCCTTAGAAGGCCCTGGCCTTCTGCGAAGCCTTCCCCCCTCCCCCTGCCCCCTTCTGCGCGTTGCCGACACTTGGCATCCACTGGTAAGTCCCCCTTGCATCCTGCTCAGAGTTGAGAACATGCTAGGCTAAGAAAAAACACTTCACGCTAGGCGTTTCATTAACAGTCCAGGCCCAGGTATACGATTACACGATCATCCTGCGAAGAAGAGAAGCTCACAGAAAACGCCCAGGGTCCAGACCATCTTGATTCTCTTAAACCAAATTTGAAGTCCATGAAGATTGCTGCGTGTTCTTCAGATGTCAGATGGGTGTATCCCCCTAGCAGCCCCCTCGCCCACCCTCCAGCTTAAAAGAGGGGGGGCGGCCTTCCCTGGCCTCCTCCCTGGGCCCCGGGGGAGAAGCGCCGGAGGGAGATATCTGAGGTTTCGTTGTGCTGGAGGGGGGGAAGATGGGAGCTGACCACCTGCTTCCACAGCTGGCGCCAAGACGTGGATGCCGCCACACAAGGAAGGCGGGCAAGGTGCAGCACGAGAGAGAACACGGTTGCATTTGGAGTCTTTTGGGGGGCGTCTGTATCCAGACTCGGGCAAATTTCCTTGCATGGCATTCACCCCTCATTTTCCGCCGCCATTTCGAGCAGCGCCTGGCCGAAACTGCGTGCAAGTGAGTCTAGACATGCGTGAAGTCCAGTGTCCTTTTGCGCGAACCCCCGTCCCTCACCATGCAAGTGAATTCACCCGAGTCCATACGCAAAGAACCTCATTCGCGTATCCTTGTGAATCTGCGAATGCAGGTAGATACATATTATATCTCATATATATAGATATACATAAACATGCACATACTGGCCATCTCATCGAGGCACATCAGTGAAGCCGCATTGTACCGACTTCGAATGGACCCAAAAATCCAGCCCCCTCACCTGAGCCAGTTGTCGAACACGGAATCATGTTCGATGGCCCCGCGGCACGACAACTGACCCTGGGGAGGGCCTGCAGAATTGGGGAACAGGGGCCGGGATTCGAAAGAACTGTCGGCTGCACGCAAGAGCGACGCAGGCACTCTGGCGCGCGGATTACCGATGCCGACCTTGGCATGCGATGGGACAGCGTGGCGGCCTTCGTGCCTGGGTCTGCACCTCCCCGGCCCGCCCACGTCTGCGCCCACCCGAGAGCCGCGCACCAGAGGCGCGGCCACTCTGGCGAAGGGCCACTTCCGCCATACGCAAGAGTGACCCTGGGCAACAGTGGCCTCTGGTGCACGGACCAAGGGGGCGCGAGGTGGCCAAATCCAAGCGCGCGAGCAGCCACTATCCCATCGCGCTCAGCGAGCGGGGGGACCCCGGTGACCCGCATCGATCTCTCTTACGTGCAGATGGTCTGGTTTGGGTATCGTAACCCGGTCTCCGACGCCCATTCGGGACGATCCCGGCACCCCCAGAACGCTCTCGGCGGGTAGCAGCTGCTGGAACGCACCCCGAGGCAGGGCAATCTTCAGGAGCTGGCGAAAACGCCAGAATACGTTACCTTGGACGATGAAGCCGAATCGAAACCCCCGACAGCATGCTTTCTCGCAACGTCGACCCCAAAAGATCTCGACCAGAAAATTTGTTCATCCGGATCCTTTTCTGACGGCTCCGGGGGCCCGCGAGGGTCCCCAGAGCCCGACAAACGCCCGTCATGTTTTCTTCATGAGGAGGGGGAGGAGGAGGAGGAGGAGGAGGAGGAGGAGGAGGAGGAGGAGGAGGAGGAGGAGCAGGGAAACACGAGGAACCCGACAGCCTCGACACAGGATGAGGAGCATGATCGGGAACACGCTCAACGCCAAAACCATCAGGAAAAGAAGGAGGCGGACGAGGTGAATCATGCATGTCGGCGGGTTACGGAGCCCCCCAACGGGAAATCAGTTTCGGTTTCGTGTTCGTGTCGTGCGTGCGGGCGAAGCGAAGCTTCGTGGGCGCGCGCGAGGGATGATCCCGCCGTCGATAGGGCCATTCGAATGCAAAAGTCTGGCCCTCATGTGGGCTCGCGGTGGCTGGGGGTGTCCCGCCGTGGTGTCTCGCGGTGTCCCGATGGTTTTAGGCGGCGTCTCGCCGTGGGCGCGGGAGAGGGATGATCCCGCCGTCGCCAGCGATTCGAATGCAGAAGTCTGGCCCTCTGTGGACGCGCGGTGGCTGGTTGTGTCCCGCTGTGGTGTCCCGCGTTGTCCTGATGGTGTCCCGTGGTGTCCCGCCGTTGTGTTCCGATGGTGTCTCGTGGTGTCCTGTGGTATCACGTAGTGTCCCGAGGTATTCCAGTGGTGTTCCGCGGTGTTCCGTGGTGTCCAGTGGTGTCCCGCGGTATCCCGCCGTGTGTCCCGATGGTGTCCCGATCGATAGCGAGATCGGTCGTGAGATCGATAAAGACAGAGGTGTGGTGACATCGGTAGTCAGATCGATAGTTCGATCGATCGTGAGATCGATCGACCGATCGACACTTACATCGTCATCTTCACATCCATCGCAGTTGCCAGCAGCTGGTTCTTCCCCCTCCCCCAGACCTCCTTATCAGCCAGTATGGCCCAGCTGTGGTCGCTTCGAGGGCATCGCTGGCGCCACGGGGCGCTCTGGCGGAAAGAGGAGGAGAACCACGAGGAAGAGGACAGGACAGGACATCCGCACAAGGGGGTCAACGTCAACACACCTATACTGGTGCCTTGTGCGCGTCTGCAAAATCCCCTGAGATTTGGTTGTGCAACAGCCCTGACTTCTCACTAGGGCCGGCAGGGGGCATATCTCGAAGCTTCAAGGGTGTGCTCCGAGGTGGCCCCGTGAGAGAGGCTCGCTGGCTTGTAAACGAAGAGGAGGAGGAGGAGGAGGAGGAGGAGGAGGAGAAGGAGGAGGAGGAGGAAGAGGAGGAAGAGGAGGAGGAGGAGGAGGAGAAGGAGAAGCACCGCTCCTCTAGCGGAGCTGGCGGGCCCAAGCCCTCGCGAGATGCGGCCTCGCCGTCGCCGGGCTCCGCGCACGGAGCCCTGGGCAGGGAGGACAGGCGCCGGCCAGCGGGCCCCGCGCGCGCGATGGGGAGGGCGGCGGGGAGGCGGCCCCAAGGGAGGGGGGGATGAGACCCATAGACCCTCACTTTGTTGCTACCTTCGGCCTCGGGGTGAACAAACCCACTCCTGGGGATTGGGTCGAGGCCTCTGGGGGTCGAGGTCGTGAGAAAATCGTGGCTTCAAGGTTCTGGGAGATGAAAGGTGGATCGAGGAGCTTCCTTTCGAGGGTCGAGCATACGTAGCACCCCGCAATTGTGGATAAGAGTGAGGGGGCGGGCGCGGGCGACGCGGGCGCGGGAGTGGAAGGAATTCAAAAACAGCCCGCCGCAGGCGCCGAACATTTTGATTTGTACACTGAACGCGGTTGGGGTTCCAGGTTCTCCACCTGGAACAAATGCAAAAGAAACCCGCCGCAGGCGCCGAAGTTTTGGCTTGTTCAGTGAACGTAGTTTGGGTCGCGGGTGGGTCGCGGGCTCTCCAGTTCCACCTGGAAGGAATTCAATTACCCCAGTGCGACCCTACCTAGAACTTGGAGCCCCTAGGAAAGCAGCATTAGTTGCTATGCTATGCTATGCTATGCTATACCATGCTATGTTGCGCTATGATATGCTATGATGTGCTATGCTATGCTATGTTATGATATGCTGCGCTATGATAGGCTATCCTATGCTATGATATGCTGAGCTATGCTATGTCATGATGCGCTGTGCTATGCTAAGCTATGCTATGTTATGTTATGCTATGCTAAGCTGCGCTATGATATGCTATGATATGATTTGATATGTTATGAGATGCTATGCTGCGCTATGCTATGCTATGCTATGCTATGCTATGATTGGCTATGCTATGTTACTCTATGCTATGCTATGCGCTATGGGCTATGATATGCTATGCATACTCGCCAAAAACTTGCGCTATGCTATGCTATGCTATGCTATGCTATGCTGCGCTATGCTATGCCATGCTGGGCTATGCTATGATATGCTGTGCTGCGCTATGCTATGCTACGCTCTGCTATGCTGTGCTCTGCTAAGGCTCGGCGAAGCTAAGATGAAGGTAAGCTAAGTTAAGATGAGCCTGAGCTAAGATGAAGCTAAGCTAATCTAAGATGAAATAAGCTAAGCTAAGATGAGATAAGCAACGCTAAGCTAAGGGGACGTAGCTGGGGGAACCGCGGGGCGGATACTGGGGGAACCGCCCGGGGCGAGTTCCACTGCCCGGCCCCTTTAAGCTTATGAAGTAAGAACCCTTCTGGGCAGAGCCTAGGTAAGGAAAAACAGCCCGCCGCAGGCCCCGAACATTTTGATTTGTACACTGAACGCGGTTTGGGTCGCGGGTGGGTCGCAGGTTCTCCACTGGTAACGAATGCAACAGAAGCCCGCCGCGGGCGCCGAGAATTGTGGGTGGGTCGCGGGGTGGGTCGCGGGTGGGTCGCGGGCGCGGTTTGGGTCGCGGGTGGGTCGCAGGTTCTCCACCTGGAACGCATGCAGAAGAAACTCGCCGCAGGCGCCGAAAATTTTGGGTGGGTCGCGGGGTGGGTCGCGGGTGGGTCGCGGGTGGGTCGCGGTGGGTCGCGGGTGGGTCGCGGGCGGGTCGCGAGCGGGTCGCGGGGTGGGTCGCGGGTGGGTCGCAGGTGGGTCGCCGCGGGTGGGTCGCCGGGCGGGCCGCGGGCGGGTCGCGGGTGAGTCTCGGGTGGGTCGCGGGTGGGTCGCGGGGTCGGTCGCGGGTGGGGGTGGGTCGCGGGTGGGTCGCGGCTGGGTCGCGGGGTGGGTCGCGGGTGGGTCGCGGGGCGGGTCGCGGGTGGGACGACGACAACAACAAACAACAAACAACAAACAACAAACACAACATCAACAACAACAACACCAACACCAATACCAACAACAACAACAACAATAACATCAGTAACATCATCAACAACAACAAACATAACAATCACAACAATCACAACTATCACAACAACAACGAGAATCCCCATCGCGGAATTCCACTTCAGCCACGCACCCAGGGACAGTGAATGACAGTTCGGTTCAGCCCCCTCACTCTGATTCTCGAGGGACGGGAAGCGAGAATGTATCTTTCAAAGATCGAAGTGATCCAGGGAAAGGCTGGCGATCCAGGGAGGGGGCGGGATGAGGATCGAGGGGGATCGAGTCGGAGGTGTTAGAAGGCAACTCCTCGGAGGTCTTCGTGGGAACTCCTCGGAAGTTGGCCTCGCGCCCCGGATTAACAAAGATTTGGCTGGAATTGGACGCTCTCCAAACGCGCATACATCACTCCCGATACCTAATTCAAGCTCCTGAGAGTTGCACCCGAGTAGATTGCCAGAGGTGGTCCTGGCCAAAGGTGCCTCCACCTTGTGGTGCCATTTTGGAACTCTTGGGCCCTCCGGGCCTCGTGAGGGGTGCTCTGGAGGCCGTGCCATGAAGGCCTCCTCGGGAATCCTGGGGGTCAGGAAGAACTTTTGCAACACCCAGCCAACACATGTTTCGAGGAGCGACGGTTTTGCTCGTCGATCGTTCTCGAGGGTCGAGGGTATTTGTTCGAGGATCCAGGTGATCCAAGGGAGGGGGGCGATCCATCGGCTGCTCGCATGGCTGACCCCAGGCTTGAAGGACCTTGGGTGCGCGGCTTGAGGGGGGCCGCGGCAAAGGCCGAATTTCAGGAGCGCGGGCCAGTGCTGCAGAAACCCATGTGGGCCGCACCAATGAAGGGGCCCTGGGATACACAAATAAATAGACACAAATAACAGGATTCCCCCATAGTTTCCCATATGTTCTGGGTTAGTGTCTTCCCCCCACTTCCCGTATTTTCCCATATTTTATGGAGAATCGATGATTAATTGTGTCTGTGTGTTTTTCCCTCCTGAACTCAAGGTCTCTCAAGCAAAGGGTCACTCGCTCGCGTGGCCGTATTCAGGGGACGGAGGGGATGGGAGGAGAGGAATGGAGACTTCTTTCGAGGGCCCAGGACCTTTTCGTTGTGGGGGGGTGGGGGTCGCGGATCAAAGGCCCTTTTCGGGGGTTTCTGTCGCCGAAGATCAAAATACATATTGCTCGAAGCTTGAAGATCCCTATTTCGCGGGTCGAGGACAGATTATATTCGAGGGTCGATGATCTTTTTCGAAACTCATGGTTTGCTCGATGACCGGGGGTCGAGGCGATCCAGGGGAGAGGGGGGGCGGCAGGGGGATCAAGACGGAGGTATTAGGAGGCACCTCCTAGGAAGCTTTGCGAGAACGAGTAAGGGATACCCGCTCAAGGGGCCATTGAGCCAAATGAGGTCACATGAAATTCAATATTAAACCAGAATGCACGGGAATGAACCAGATTGCCACAACAGTAAGCCGGAGTAGGACACTGTTCGACAGCGGATATACCAGCGCCGATACCGAATTTAAGCCTCCTGAGAGCTGCACCCGAGTAGATGTCCAGAGGTGGTCCTGGCCACTCCACCTTGTGGTGCCATGTTGGAACGTTTGGGCATTCCAGGCCTCGTGAGGGGTCCTCTCTGGAGGCCGTGGGGGCCTCGGGACTCCTGGGGGCACGTTGGGCCAGGGACGCTCTTGGCAACACCTGGTCGACTTTACGTTTTCCGAGGGTCGATGATCTTGGCTGGCGATACTGCTAGAGGGAAGAACGCATTGCTCTGAGACAGAGGGTCGAACGTATTGTGCGATGATCGTTCTCGAAGGTCGAGGGTACTTGTTCGTTCGAGGATCGAGGAGATCCAAGGGAGGGGGGGGGGGGGGCGATCCATCGGCTACACGCACGGCTGACCTTACGCGGGAGTGATCTTGGGTGGGCGGCGTCAGAGGGCCGCTGCGGGGCAACACCAAGTGCGCAGGCCAGTGCTGCAAGGACCCCTGTGGGCCCGCACCAAAGGTCACTCCGGCAAAGGCCCACTCTCACTCTCAGCATAAACAAGGGGAAGGGTGCAGGAGGAGGGCGGATAGTTCAGAGGATTGAAAATCATGTTCGGGAATCAAAGACCTTTGTGCTGGTGATCGGGCATCTTGTTCTGGGGATCGAGGGTCTCGATGAACTTTTTGAGGATCGGGGATTGGCTTTCAGTATAGATATGGTCTCCTCTTTCAGGGTCGAGGAGAACTTTTTCGAGGATCGAGAATCGAGGCGATCCAGGGAGGTGGGCTTGAGGAGAAGGATCGAAGAGGGGGTCGATTCAGCGAGGTGGGCGCAGCGGCAGGGAGGTCGAGGATCCCGTCCCAGGCTCACGACCATCAAACATCGATCCAGGACCCGGGGGGGGGAGGCGGGCGGGAGGAGGATCCTGCTCCTGCTTACCTTAGTCGTCGTCATCAGCATCCTCCCTCCCCTCCCTCTCGTCACCTCCCTCCAGCTCATCCCCCGCTTCATGGACGTTGCCCTTCCCATCCTCCGTCCCCTCCTACTCCTCCTCCTCCCCCTCCTCCTCCTTTTCCTCCTCTTCCTCCTGCTCATCCTCCGACTCATCCTTGTCGTCGTCGTCCGTCTCCGACTCCACCTCCTCGTCCTTCACCCCCTCTTCGTCACCTCCTCATCCTCCTCCTCCTCCTCGTCCTCTGCGTCGGCACTGATCACAGCGGCGCCCACGCAAGCATCTGGTCGCATCGGATCGTCGCAAGCCTGAACAGAATCGGATCGGGCCAGCCGGAATCGATACCGAATCGATATCGATCGGAGCGAAATGGATCCGGACTGTGAGCCCCAGTCTCGCAGGCGGGCAGAGTCGCCAGGCCCACGTGGGATCTGGGGGCCGTCCGCGCGAAGCCTTCCAGCCCTGCCAAAACGCGCGCCAAGCGACATCTCCGAGGGGCCGGTCCCCGCTGCGCTGGAGCTGGCTCCCTCCCACTTCTTCCTAGCTAGTTACGTCCCCTGCTCGGCCTCCCCCTCCTCTTCTCCTCCTCCTCCTGCTCCGCCTCATCCTCCTGCTCCTCCTCCTCCTCCTTCTCCCTCCTCCCCACCCTCCTCCTCCTTCCT